AAAGTGTTTTTAAATCAATACAATTAAATTAATGATATTATTAAAATATCTTTAATAAAACATTTTTTATATCTAATTATTAAGAGTAATTTAATAATTTTTGAGTGACTTTTAATATGCGAATCTCAATAAAAATAATACTATATGATATTAATTAGAAATTAGTCAAGATGAAATTTTTATCAAATGTCTTAAATGTTAAGACATAAGATTTTATGTTGAAATTTCGTTGCATATTTTCAGAAAAAAAAAAAAAAAAGATTTTATGTTGAAACAGATAGAAAATTTTGAAAGCGGATTCTATTTGTATATTCGGGCAATAGCAAAATTACATAAAACCCCCAGTAAAAATGTCAAAACTAGTTACAATATGAAGGGTAAAATGGTAATTTTAATCACTTCATATCCATCCAAACCTCGTCTGCTTCCCCCTCCTCTGCAACTATCCGTTGTAGGTTGTTCCTCTTTCCTTCCTAATTCATCACCCACAATTGTTCAAACAAGAAAAATCCGATAGCTTCTTTTCATCAATAAACACATTTCTCCACTCTCTTCTCTGATTTCTCCAAGTTTTCTCACAAAACAGAATCCTTTTGTCAAGAAACCACTTTCTTTATGTTTACCAGAAATCCCCAGAATTTCAGCCTTCTTTTTCTCCAAAAATTGAGGTAGGCTTTCGTACTCTCACTGTTTTCCGTAAGGAAATTTGTTGGGTTTTCCAATTTTCACTGTTTCTCCCAAAAAATTCCGTGTTGTGCCTTATTACAAGAAACCCAGATTTTTTTCTTTCTTTTTTCTATGAAATTTGTCAGATTTTGAGATTTTCATTATTCGTGTTTTAGGTTTCTTATTTGAAATGGACAACGATTCCATTACTTGGTCAGTGAAACTGGAGAGACATGCTTTTGGGACATTCTCAATAGCCTATAAACAAGCACATCCGCTGAGAAGGAGAGATTTTGTTAGGATTGATAATGGCAGCAATTTTATTTTTGTTGGACTCTTCAAAGTTAATGGAATTTCAGAGGAAGCTTCTTGCTTTCTCTTTGAACACTTTCTAGAAAATCTCAAAGGTCAGTGTTCTTTACAAATTTCATTGTAAAACAAATTTAATTGTCTGATTTTATCTTACAGTAACACCGTTCCTGGCTTTATAATTTTCAATTATGTTGTCTCTCATGCTAATGTAGTATGTTGTGTATCATTGACCAGTGTATGCAAAAGACTCATCTTGGTTTTCAGTCGAGTACCTTGAGCATGCTCTATGTGACACAGGACGTGATTTTAATGATAGAAAAACATCTCCTATTGATATTGGGGCCAGTTGTTTGGCTTTAGTGTTTGATGGTGTACATCTCCATCTTTTGAATGCGGAAGATTCCAGGGCTCTGGTAGTGGAAGAGGCTCTTATCGAGCAACTCACCACAATTCACAACCGACCCTACTGTACTCAGCTTTTTGGGCAAAGTATTGTGGTAGGGACACCACAATATCGTACAAAACGGTTAGCAGTAAGCAACAAATTCATGATTGTTGCTTCGAGGGGACTTTGGAAGGTTCTGAGAAACGAAGAGGCTGTACATATAGTCCAAAGTAATCCACCAGATGTAAGTTTGTTTTTCACTTCCATAACTACCATTTTTTATGTAGAAACATTTTTATGGTTTCTCTTATTAATTCTGTTTCAAATTATACATAGGGAATTGCAACCAGACTTATTCAACATGCTTTGGGAAGGCAGCCATTGTTATAGGATGATATCACAATTGCTGTGATATTTCTAGACTATGAATTACTGCACCAGCATTTTACTTTTCCAAATCCGAAAGTGCAGTTCTATTCTTCTTATCTACCACCAGCAACACAAGAGGAAGACCTTGGAAGAATGATCAAGTCCAGGGACTTGAAAAGACACCCCTATGGGGAGCTGTCTGCAGCTGCTATTGAAGCTCATGAAATAATGAAAACCTACTGCCATTTGAAGATTGGCGGTGATGGTTTATTCTTTGGAATATTTGATGGGGGCCATTCAGAGAAAGCGTCTCACTTTCTAGCTAACAATTTGTACAAGACTTTAAAAGGTCTTCTCTTTATCTTAATTTTCTTGATTTTGGGTTGATTGGATGTTCACTGACTGTCTTCTCTTTATCATTAAACAGGGATTGTTGGAGACACTGAGTCCATTGGTATAGATTCTTTGAGACGGGAGAAGATTTTTTTCGTTATGCAACTGGGGATACAGACTCAAGTTGTCTTGCAGGAGTCATAATGAATAGATCATTGTATCTTGCCAATAATGGAAGTTCTTGAGCTGTCCTTGCTTGTTTGGATGAGTCAAGTAGTCTGGCTGCTGTACAGTTAACAACGAACCAGATTGCAAATGATTATGCAACCTGTTGCGGCATGTGGGTTCTGCATGGTGGTTGAAAAAAGCATGCAAATTTCAGCCTTTGAAATTTGGTTGCATAGGAAATCTCATGGCAGCCTAATTTTGTTGAAAAATTGAAAGTCTCATGGCAGCCTTTGAATGGAAATTTGGTTGCTACAACTTTGTCCATGCAACATTTATTGTGCATGGTCGGATGATGACTTTGGAGCCCATTGCATTCATTGTGGGTGGTTGGCATTTGGCTATAAAAGGCCATTTGGCCATTCGGCAAAGACACCAAGAAGAGCAATCCAAAGCAAAGTGAGCTCTAGAAAATACAAGAGTTTTGTGAGTGCTTTGTGTGAAGGTGAGCAAGAGCAGAGTGGTTAAAATTACTTTGCTGAGTGTTTTTTGAGTGTGTCTCGCATTCAAAAATACTGTGAGTAAGATTTGGGTATAATTGGGGATTGAGTATTTTTCTAAGAGTACCACAAATTGTATTTCCCTATTTTAATAGTGAATTTTTCCTTGTGAGTGCCCGTGGACATAGGCTCAATTAAATTGAAGCTAAACCACGTAAATTCTGTCTTTCCTGTGGTGGTGCATTTTTTTATTCCATTAATTTCTTAATCTTGTAGTAGGTTAACCAAAATATGAAGCAATTTGTTCCAACAAACTGGTATCAGAGCTATGGCGGTGGTTAGTGCTTGAAAAATTGTTTTAATCGTGATGGCATCCGGAGCCAAGTACGAGATTGAGAAATTTAATGGTGGCAAAAATTTCAGCTTATGGAGGTTGAAGATGCGAGCCATGCTAACACAGCAGGGGCTATGGAAAGCACTAGAAAAGGAACGCAAGCTACCGGAAACTCTACCAGAGGAAGAGAAGATAGACTTGAAGGAGCGGGCACTGAGTGCAATTCAGCTCTCACTTTCTGACAAAGTCTTGGGGGAGGTTGCAGAAGAAAATTCAGCTTCTGCATTATGGTCGAAGTTGGAAGCCCTTTACTTAACCAAATCAGTCAGTAACCGATTATATCTGAAGAAATGGTTGTTCACCCTCAATATGAATGAAGGTGGTTCCATCAAAGACCATCTTGATGAGTTCAACAAGCTCATTTTAGACTTGAAGAATATCGATGTGAAGATAGAAGATGAAGACCAGGCAATTATTGTTTTGTGCTCATTGCTTGACTCTTATGACAACTTTGTTGAAACTCATCTTCATAGTAGAGATCAACTCTCTATGGAAGATGTCAAGGCGGCCTTGAATTCAAGAGAATTGAAGAAGAAGGTGTCCGGAGACAAGAGTGGTGATCAAGTAGCAGGATTGTTCATAAGAGGTAGACAAAATAACAAAACTTTCAACAAGCGAGGAAAGTCTCAATCCAAATCGAGAGCCAAGCATGCTCGATGTTACGAGTGCAATGAGATAGGACATTTCAAGAAAAATTGTCCCAAGCTCAAGGAAAAGAAAGCTAAAAAATCCGGTGATGCCAACATTGCCAGTTGCAGTGATAAGTTAGATGATGGAGATTGTGTTCTATCTGTCTCTACAAACTCCTCCGGTGAGGAATGGATTTTAGATTCGGGTTGCTCATTCCATGTATGCCCACGACCTGACTGGTTTGAAACATATAAACTAGCCATTGGCATGGTGGTTCTTGGTGATGATACAGCATTGCCTATTGTTGGAATTGGCAACATCTTGATCAAGATGTATGATGGGATGGTCAGAACATTCGAGGTTCGTCATGTGCCGGGTTTGAAGAAAAATCTCATTTCCATGAGTAAGCTTGACTCCAAGGGCTGCCGATACTTCTGTGCAGGTGGAGTTCTCAAAGTCTCTAAAGGAGCTCTCGTAATATTGAAGGGGAAGAAAGTTGGTGGTCTTTATCACTTACAAGGAAGCACAGTCAATGGCACATGTGCTGTGTCAACTTCAAGCAGTCCAAATAAAGATGTAACTAGGTTATGGCATATGCGACTTGGGCATATGAGTGAAAGAGGGATGATGGAGCTAAGCAAGCGAGGTCTTCTGTGTGGCCAAAAAATTGGCAAGCTAGACTTCTGTGAGCACTGTGTTTATGGCAAGCAGTGCAGGTTGCAGTTTGGCAAAGGAGTTCATCGAACTTAAGGCACAGTTGATTACATTCACTCAGACTTGTGGGGTCCCTCCCCTGTTGCATCAAAAGGTGGAGCTGTGTATATGTTGACCTTCATTAATGATTATTCAAGAAAGGTGTGGATATACACCTTAAAGAGTAAAAGTGACGTGTTCCTCACCTTTAAGTAGTGGAAGACGCTGATTGAGAAACAGACTGGAAAACAAATCAAGCATCTAAGAACAGATAATGGTCTTAAGTACTGCAGTGGTGAGTTTGATACTTTTTGCAAGAATAATGGAATTGTGAGACATCGCACTATCAGGATGACACCACAGCAAAATGGTGTTGCAAAAAAGATCAATCGTACACTCTTGGAGAGAGCACGGTGTATGCTCTCAAATGCTGGATTATCAAAGGACTTTTGGGCAAAAATTGTCAATCATGCTGGCTATCTTGTAAATCGGTCTCCATTCACAGCAATTGGATTAAAGACTCCAGAAGAATTATGGTCAAGTTCTCTTACTGATTATTCACAGTTGAGGATATTTGGTTGTCTAGTGTATGCTCATGTTAGGGATGGTAAACTTGAGCCAAGGGCAATGAAGTGTGTATTTCTAGGGTACACTTCCAGGGTAAAAGGCTATAGACAGTGGTGTGTTCAGAAGTCACCTCAGTTCCTCATGAGCAGAGATGTAACCTTTGATGAGTTTGCTATGCTCCAAAAAGCAAATGAGGAGTCAACAATTGCAAAGCCAGACCATGGAGTTAGCAAGCAGGTGGAGTTTGAAGCAACAACTCAAGAAAAGGTAGTGCGAGATGACAACATTATCCAAGAGAATCTAGATGTGGTGCAAAATCTAGAGCCAACAAATACTCCAATAAAGGTGAAGGCACCTGAACAAACACAACAATAGTATAATATTGCTACTGGTAGACAGAGGAGGGAGACCAAACCACCTCAGAGATATGGCTATACAAATTATGTTGCCTATGCTTTATCAGTTACAGAACTAATGGAGGCTGAAGATCCCAACAATTATCGGGAAGCAATTACTAGTAAAGAATTTCCTTTTTGGCTTGCTGCCATGATAGAGGAGATTGAGTCTCTACATAAGAACTAGACATGGAAGCTTGTGAAGCCACCAAAGGGACAAAGAATTGTTGGATGCAAATGGGTCATAAGGAGAAAAGAAGGAATCCCAAGGGTATAGACACCCAGATTCAAGGCGAGATTGGTTGTGAAGGGTTTCACACAACGAGAGGGTATTGATTTCCATGAGGTATTCTCTCCTGTGGTGAAACACAGCTCTATTCTACTTGCCATGGTTACTTTATATGATCTTGAGTTGGAGCAACTTGATGTAAAGACTGCTTTCCTGCATGCTGAGTTAGAGGAACGGATATATATGTCTTAGCCAAAGGGATTCATAGTCTCAGGAAAAGAAGATCATGTTTGTTTGCTCCAGAAATCCTTATAAGGATTGAAGCAATTGCCTCGACAGTGGTACAAACGATTTGACAACTTCATGGTTAAGAGTAGATTCACTCGGAGCAACTATGATAGTTGTGTCTATCATAAAAAGCTTGGAGATGGTTCTTAGGTTGACTTGTTGTTGTACATTGATGACATGCTTATTGTTGCCAAAAGCATGTTAATCATTGATGATTTGAAGAAGCAACTTAGTGGTGAGTTTGAGATGAAAGACTTGGGTGCAGCTAAGAAGATCTTAGGAATGGAGATTCACAGGGACCGCAAGGGAGGTAAATTGTTTCTCTCTCAAAAGAAATACATTAAAAAAGTACTCGAGCGATTTGGCTTACATGAAGCTAAGGCTGTGACTACTCCTTTGGGACCACATTTTAAGCTTTCATCAAATTTGTCACCAGAAATGGAGGAGGAGAAGAAGTTTATGGCGCGTGTTCCTTATGCGAGTGCTGTTGGGAGCTTAATGTATGCTATGGTATGCACTCGTCCTAATATTTCACATGCAGTTAGTGTGGTTAGTCGGTATATGGCTAATCCAGGTAAAGGACACTGGGAAGTTGTGAAGTGGGTCCTCCGGTATTTACGAGGCACAACAGATGTTGGACTAGTCTATGATCGGAGTGCTAATCCGAGTGGAAATGTAGTTGGATTTGTCGACTCTAATTTTGCCGGTAATTTGGACAAAAGTAGATCAACTACAAGATATGTCTTTACTCTCTTAGGGTGTGCCATTAGTTGGAAAGCTACATTGCAATCAACAATCGCCTTGTCAACAACTAAGGCAGAGTACATGGCAATTACTGAGGCAATAAAGGAAGCATTATGGCTAAAGGGTTTGGTCAGTGATCTCGGGGTAGAACAAAATGAGATGATGGTGTTTTGTGATAATCAAAGTGCCATTCACTTGACGAAGAACACCATGTACCACGAGAGAACCAAACATATTCAAGTTCGATATCACTTTGTTCGAGAGGTTATATCCAATGGAGATGTGCTTGTTGAAAAGATATCAACTGACGAGAATCCTGCAGATATGATGACAAAGCCGGTAAGTGGAATCAAGTTCAAGCATTGCTTGGACTTGATTAGTGTCCAAAGTGCTTAATGCCCCTTGGGGCATTGTGGCATCAAGGGAATGAAGTTATTGGTCCTGAATCTTATTTTTCGAATGCTCGCCAAGGTGGAGGTTGTTGCGGCATGTGGGTTCTACATGGTGGTTGAAAAAGCATGCAAATTTCAGCCTTTGAAATTTGGTTGCATGGGAAATCTCATGGCAGCCCAATTTTGTTGAAAAATTGGAAGTCTCATGGCAACCTTTGAATGGAAATTTGGTTGCTACAACTTTGTCCATGCAACATTTATTGTGCATGGTTGGATGATGACTTTGGAGCCCATTGCATTCATTGTGGGTGGTTGGCATTTGGCTATAAAAGGCCATTTGGCCATTCGGCAAAGACACCAAGAAGAGCAATCCAAAGCAAAGTGAACTCTAGAAAATACAAGAGTTTTGTGAGTGCTTTGGATAAGGGTGAACAAGAGCAGAGTGGCTAAAATTACTTTGCTGAGTGTTTATTGAGTGTGTCTCACATTCAAAAATACTGTGAGTAAGATTTGGGTGTAATTGGGAATTGAGTATTTTTCTGAGAGTATCACAAATTATATCTCCCTATTTTAATAGTGAATTTTTCCTTGTGAGTGCCCATGGACATAGACTCAATTAAATTGGAGCTGAACCACGTAAATTCTGTCTTTCTTGTGGTGATGCATTTTTTTATTCCATTAATTTCTTAATCTTGTAGTAGGTTAACCAAAATCTTAAGCAAATTGTTCCAACACAACCCAATGGAATGGGCTTCTCACATCATAACCGGAAATGAAAGAGATGATATTAGAAACAACCAACAAAATTTTGATCTTGGCTTCTGATGGTTTTTGGAAGGAAATGGAGAACGAAGAGGTTGTCGACATTGTGAAGAATAACCCAAGAGAGGTAAATTTTCTTTTCGTCAAGAAACCCACTTTGCTTATGTTTGCCAGAAAATTCCACAATTTTATATTTCTTTTTGGCCAAAAATTTAGGTGGACTTTGTATTTTCACTGTTTTTCGTAAAGAAATTTGTTGGGTTTTCCAATTTTCACTAAAAAATTATGAGCTGTGCCTTATTATATGAAACCCAAATTTTTTTTCCTTTTTTTTCTAAGAAATTTTTTCAATTTTTTCGATTTTCATTATTCTTTGTTTGTGTTTTAGGTTTTTGATTTTTGGATGGACAACAATTCTATCACTTGGTCGATTTAACTAGAGAAGCACGCTTTTGGTACATTCTCAATTACGTATAAACAAACCCATATGCTGAAAAAGAGAGATTTCACATCATTAATTTTCTCTAAGCAGATGGGCTTGTTTATACGTGATTGAGAATGTACCAAAAGTGTGCTTCTCAAATTCAACCGATCAAGTGATGGAATCGCTGTCCATCCCAAAAATCAAAAACCTAATTAGAACTTAGTGAAGATGAAATTTTGACCAAATGTCTTAAACTTTAAGAAAATAAGATTTTAAATTCAAATGGAAAGATATTTTGAAAGAAAAGTACACAAAACCACTAGTAAAAAATGTCAAAATCAATTATAATAGAAAAGGTGAAGTGGTAAAATGCCTGCTTCTGTCTCCCTACAATCATCCCTTTTAAGTGGTTCCATTTTTCTTTCTTAATTCATCATGCACATCTTGTTCAAACAAGAAAAATCATAGTTTCTTTTCATCAAGAAACCCATTTCTCCACTCTCTTCTCTGATTTCTCACATTTTCCTCACAAAGTAAATCTTTTCGTCATAAAACCCACTTTGCTTTTGTTTGCCAGAAAACCCCATAATTTTATAATTTTTCGCCAAAATTTTAGGTGGACTTTCCTATTTTTATTGTTTTTCCCTAAAGAAATTTGTTGGGTTTTCCAATTTTCACTAAAAAAATTATGGGCTATGCCTTATTACATGGAACCCAAATTTTTTTTGTCTTTTTTTTTCTCTAAGAAATTTGTCCGATTTTGAGATTTCATTAATCTTTGTTTGTGTTTTAGGTTTCTGATTTTTTGATGGACAACAAGTCCATCACTTGGTTGGTTTAATTGGAGAAGCACGCTTTCGGTACATTCTCAGTCATGTATAAACAAGCCCATGTGTTGAAAAAGAGAGATTTAACCTCATTAATTTTCTCCAAGAAAATGGGCTTGTCTATATGTGATTGAAAATGTACCAAAAGCATGCTTCTCCAATTCAACTGACGAAGTGATGGAATTGTTGTCCATCTCAAAAATTAGAAACCTAATTAGAACTTAGTGAAGATGAAATTTTGACCAAATGTCTTAAACTTTTATGTTCAAATGGAAAGATATTTTGCAAGAAAATTACGTAACACCACCAGTAAAAAATGTCAAAATCAACTACAATGGGTGAAATGGTAAAATGCCTGCTTCCCTCTCCTTGCAATCATCCCTTTTAGGTTGTTTCATTTTTCCTTCTTAATTCGTCACGCACATCTTGTTTAAATAAGAAAAATCATAATTTATTTTTATCAAGAAACCCATTTCTCCACTCTCTTCTCTAATTTATCACATTTTCCTCACAAAGTAGAATCTTTTCGTCAAGAAACTCACTTTGCTTCTGTTTGCCAGAAAACCCCACAATTTTATACTTCTTTTTCCCCAAAAATTTAGGTGGACTTTCGTATTTTCACTTTTTTTCGTAAAGAAATTTGTTGGGTTTTCCAATTTTCACCAAAAAATTATGAGCTATGCCTTATTACATGAAACCCAGATTTTTTTGCCTTTTTTTTCTAAGAAATTTTTTCGATTTTGAGATTTTCATTATTCTTTGTTTGTGTTTTAGGTTTCTGATTTTTGGATGGACAACAATTCCATCACTTGATCGGTTTAATTAGAGAAGCACACTTTCGGTACATTCTCAATCACATATAAACAAGCCCCTATGTTGAAGAGGTGAGATTTCACATTATTAATTTTCTCCAAGCATATGGGCTTGTTTATACATGGTTGAGAATGTACCAAAAGCGTGCTTCTTCAGTTCAACCGACCAAGTAATGGAATTGTTATCCATCCCAAAAATCAAAACCTAATTAGAACTTAATGAAGATGAAATTTTGACCAAATGTCTTAAACTTTAAGAAAATAAGATTTTATGTTTGAATGGAAACATATTTTGAAAGAAAATTACATAAAACCACTAGTAAACAATGTCAAAATCAATTACAATAGAAAGGGTGAAATGGTAAAATGCCTACTCCCCTTTCCCTGCAATCATCCCTTTCAGGTTCCATTTTTCCTTCTTAATTCATCACGCACATCTTGTTCAAACAAAAAAATCATAGTTTTCTTTTCACCAAGAAACCCATCTCTCCACTCTCTTCTCTGATTTCTCACATTTCCCTCACAAAGTAGAATCTTTACATCAAGAAACCCACTTTGCTTCTATTTGCCAGAAAACCCCACAATTTTATACTTCTTTTTCACCAAAAATTTAGGTGGACTTTCGTATTTTCACTGTTTTTGGTAAAGAATTTGTTGGGTTTTTCAATTTTTACTAAAAAATTATGGGCTATGCCTTATTACATGAAATCCAGATTTTTTTTCCTTTTTTTTTCTAAGAAATTTGTCCAATTTTGATATTAAAGAATTTGTTGGGTTTTTCAATTTTTACTAAAAAATTATGGGCTATGCCTTATTACATGAAATCCAGATTTTTTTTCCTTTTTTTTTCTAAGAAATTTGTCCAATTTTGATATTCTCGTTATTGTTGGTTGTGTTTAGGTTTTTGATTTTTGGATGAACAACAATTCCATCACTTGGTCGGTTGAACTGGAGAAGCATGTTTTTGGTACATTCTCAATCATGTATAAACAAGACCATATGCTAAAGAGGAGAGATTTCATATTATGACTTTTCTCTAAACAGATGGGCTTATTTATACATGATTGAGAATGTACCGAAAACATACTTCTCCAGTTCAACCGACCAAATGATGGAATTGTTGTTCATTCAAAAATCAAAAACCTAAAACACAAACAGCGAATAATGAAAATCTCAAAATCGGACAAATTTCTTAGAAAAAAGAAAGGAAAAAAAAAAATCTAGGTTTTATGTAATAAGGCACCGCCCATAATTTTTTGGTAAAAATTGGAAAACTCAACAAATTTCTTTACGAAAAACAGTGAAAATACGAAAGTCCACCTAAATTTTTGGTGAAAAAGAAGTATAAAATTGTGGGGTTTTCTGGCAAATAGAAGCAAAGTGGGTTCTTGATGTAAAGATTTACTTTGTGAGGGAAATGTGAGAAATCAAAGAAGAGAGTGGAGAAATGAGTTTCTTGGTGAAAAGAAACTATGATTTTTCTTGTTTGAACAAGATGTGCATGATGAATTAAAGAAGGAAAAATGGAACCTAAAAGGGATGATTGCAGGGGAGAGTGAAGCAGGCATTTTACCATTTCACCCTTTCTATTGTAATTGATTGACATTTTTTACTGGAAGTTTTATGTAATTTTCTTTCAACATATCTTTCCGATGACGAGAACGTATTAAGTTATAAATCTTGATCATAATGAGGAGAAAGCTAGAGAATTTGATCGTCTTTTCCCCCTCAAAACAGTGCATCTGATTTGTAGTATGGGAGAATTGCACTTCAGAATTGTATTTTGAAGACAATATCATCTAGGAGATTATACATGTATTTTGAAAATGACATGAATGCAACCTTTCAAAAATTTATTTGTAGATCTTCTAGTTCAGGTTCCAAAGCTTTGTCTTCCATTCCAGCTTCTGTTGCGAAGAGCGGGGCATCAAGCTGAGGTGGGTTCTATATACATTGAAGATGTTAGTACCCACATTTAAATTAAACTCCACAATATGAAAAGTAAGGGAGAATGAGAGAGCAGTGAATATTTGCATTTAACGCTTAAGAATTCATAATGTTCCTTCAGAAGTTTATTTAGTTCTCAATTTTACAGATTCTTTTCTAGATAAATATAGGCAGTATGTACTATAGGTTTCAGTGATGCACACAATTCAATCCACATAACTAGTTAAAGCTTGGTTTTTGAAGTTAGGTATATAAAATTGAGCATGGACATGAGCATGAGGACGCTGGATTTACCATGGAACGAACTAGGGCCCAGTTTATGTCTTTGAAGAAAGGATGCCGCTTAACTTCATTTGCTCCTTCACGAGAACCTAATCTATTTTTTGGATCTTTATTCAACAAGCTGCACATTAGTTGCTTCACGTGGAGACTTACCTGCACAAAAATATATAACATGTGAATGTCATACATGATAAAGTAAAAAACTAGCCACCTAAAACTTGCTTTAATTCTTTGAATCAGACGAAACTGGTAGAAGAAAGGGTGCCATTTTTTTTAAATCTGATATGTTAGACAAGAAAGTTAAAAATGAGAAGACAACTCTCACCGGTGTGCTTTTGGGGAATTTAAGATCTTTTTGAAGAACATTGGCAAATGTCCTTTGTCTAGTCTTTCCCCTAAAAGGTGTATATCCGTAAAGCATTTCATAGAGAAGGATGCCTGTAAAAGATAAAAAAAAAATGTCAGAAACTAGAGAAGATGGAAAAAAATCTATTATGTTGATAAAAAAAATTATAAAAATCATTTAAAACGCCACAAATAAATGATACCTAATTCAGAAAGTTTCATGCTTAGGATTGATGCGACTGAAAGTCACAAAAAGTAAACAATTTCCAAATTGGAATGCAACAGGTTTTTATCAATCTCAATAGTTATTGCATGAGTGGTGCAAAAGTTATTGTTAATTGAACAATATCTACTGCCCTTCACTGCTCAATAAGTCATTTTTATTTTGTTTTCAGTTCTTTAAAAACCATCATATATTTGCTCAGGAGAAACATAATTACCTAGAGCCCACCAATCTACTGCACTAGTATGGCCTGCTGCAGTTATAATTTCCTGAGAAGAACAGAAGACTAATGAGCAATACATACTGTTATAGGCAGTGAACTGATGCAAATGCACCATCCAAAGAAAGCTGCCATTTCCAGTATAAAAGAAGTTAAGGAGGAAAACAGGCATAAAACAAATTAAGGAGGAAAAAAGTAGACAGACTGGGGCTATATACTCCTCAGTGCCAACAAAAGAATTTGATGCGCGCATGGGTTCAGCCACAAAGATAGGATTCTGTCGCTTTTTTTTCTGGCGCTTTTTCTTTTCATCTGTCGGTGGAATCAAAAGCTGCATAGAGGGGAAAACCAATTTTGTCAGGTTTATGTTACCACAAAAGCTATAGACTTGGATAACGGAAAAAGAAGACATTAAAGATAAGTAGGAGTTAATAAAGCTTAAATACCTGTGGTTTACAGGATGTCAAACATGATAAATCAAAATCTGTCAGGGACACATGTCCACTACTCTGGAGTAAAATATTTTCAGGCTTTAAATCTCTGTATATAATTCCTGCACAAAGAAAGACCAGGTGATGACATGGAACTAGTCCAAAAGTAGCTTAGATGCACTCTATCATTCTTTAATGACTGATCAGTTAAGCACAACAAATTTATTAAAGCAAACTCTTAGTTAACTTAATGCTACCTTGACAGTGAAGATACTCCAATGCAACAACTACCTCAGCAGCATAAAATCTGCAGACAAGAAAATGTTTAAATTGTTGTAAGTTACCATTGACAGAACAGAGAAACTAGACCACTAGAAAGAAACTTAGAAGATGCTTAGCTAACTCTGAAGAAAAGTAGATCATAGAATTGATTGAACATTGTTCAGAGATTACCTCACAGCATCTTCCTTCAAGACCTTCAGTGGTTGTCTGTCCAGAAGCATAAATAGTTCTCCACCAGGGCAGTAATCAGTGACCAGACAAACATGCGTTTTGGTCTGCTAAGAATCTAAAAGTTAGGATTTCAACATATCCATTTAAAGCAGGTAAGAGTAAATCAAACATGAAGCTTCTGCTCTCCGTTCCTCTTAAGAGGAGGATGGCAGTTTTCAAAAAGAGAAATTGCATGTTTCTGACTAATGTTAAAGCATTTTTGCTTTATGTTGAAAGGCTAAAGGAATCCAAGCTTTATATTGACACTACATACACTTTAGCAGATAGCTTCAGAGCTATTCCTAAGGTGTTACAATGGTTAGCTAACCTGAAATGAAGCATACAATGCAGGAAGAAAAGGATGGTCCAACATGTCAAGAATTTCTCTTTCTGCACAAGCTCTATGCACCTGAAAAAAAATAGGCTTCAATAAGCAGAAATTGAAGCAATATTAAAAGTCTCTGTTCATTTCATCATAACAATCTTAAGCTCCACTATTTCTATGATTTGAAGTTCAAGGAGTAAAATAAATTATCCCTTTTTGGCCTGGCCAGACAGTAGCACATGCTATGAGGAAAGCATGAATACCTTGTTACGATTGAGCATAACACCCTTATCCATTACTTTCATTGCAAAGTACTGGCCAGTTTCATTCAGTTCCACCAAATGCACACTGTAACAAGCAGCAATCTTTTAAATAAAAGTTCCAAAATAGATTCTAAGTTTATAAGTGGAGCAAGGAAGAGACACAATTAGGAAAGCATCTACTGAAAATTGAATGTCAACTAGGAGCAAAGGAATTGGAAAAACCTGCCAGTGTCACCCGATCCCAAAGGTTTTACTGGTCTAAAGTGCTTCAGACCAATCCGTTCTCCACTTTCGATAATCTGTAAGTGTTATAGAAAACAAAGTAATGAGATAAAGAGAGCATGCAAATACTCTGCTAGTTGTCTGGTGTGTATCAACCTGATCCCAAATTGTCTAAGCCAAAAGACTGATACCTTTTGAATAGCTCTCCAAGAAGGACTGTCCTTCCTGTGGGGTTTAGGGTGAACCACCTTTGAGTGATTCAACCAAAGATCTTCTGGTTTCTGCAGATATCAAAATTTTGTTACTATGGTTTCTAAAAGCCAAAAAGGTTCTATGGAGAAAGGGAGCAATATTTAGAAATTACCATGTTGGCATCTGGAAGTTCTCTCACTGCTTCATCAACATTTTCTGCAGTTTGTTTTACCTGAAAGCAGAGATCAAGCCACCTGATTTAAGATGCTTAATACATTAAAAACAAAAATGAAAAAAACTTAGGACAAATATGGATAGATGCCAAATTTAAACAAGGTCAAGAAATAAGGCCAGCTAAGAATTTGCTATGAAAATAAATTAAAAAGATACAACTGGAGCACATCAGGATATTGATCTACCAGTTTTTCACCCTCTTTCGCTTTGGCTTCTGAAATACTATTGTGAAGTGGCTCAATATGTTCACTACCATCTAGTTGCACCCCAATAAAATACTGAACTTCTCCCTGTGTTGAAGGAACCAAATTCATAAAATTAAAAATAAAAATAAGAGCTACTGCTTCTTGGTCTAGAATGGATAAAATCTGGTGATCAGCCAGGCCCACAAATTTACATGGCAAGACATAGAATTTAAATGTTTTCTACCTTTTGGTCACGCATAGGCTGTAGATGGAACAGATTCCAGAACTTCTTACCTAGAAGGTAAACAGAACAGTTTTAAATTGTCGTGTCAACATTTAATGGAAGCATAAATTATAGTACATGCATCTACCTCAGCATACCAAAAAAATTTCTCAAATATGAAGCATGACATGGTTAGTTATCCTTCAGATATTTTCCCTTCTGTTTGAAAAAATCTAGATAATGTATTGAGTAATTTAAGATGGCATGCAAAATCTAGAAATTGCAAAACAATATGTGTACCATTCTTTGTGTAATTGATTAATTGCACAGTAACTTCTGTTTGGTTATCAATCGCTTCTCGGATCTTCCTCACAGTTGCACGATCAGTTTCAGGCCCTTGGAGAAACCTATAAACGAAAATTACAATTTACAAAATCTTGAAACCTAAAATTTCAATTTTTGAAGCTCACCTGCAATTTCTGCCCAATATTTCCTCACGGCTGTACTCTGTCAACTCCAAGAAGCTATCAGATGCAAAAATCTGAAAACAAATAGTAAGAACCATTAAGCATCAAACAAATCCATCTCCAATTCGAGTATTCAATCGCAATTCAATGCAATTGAAGCTTCAGTTGCAATGAAATGAATCAAATGAAGTAGCTCTTAATCAGTAATTCTTACAATAGGATTATCAGGAAGCCTTGGATCCGTGATGACAAAATTTTTCTCTATACGCTCAAGCGTCGTGGCAAGATCGATCCCTTTCCTCATTTCTTTCTGTCTAACTCTGTCATCTACACTCTCCGGCCCCTCATCATCGCTACTTTCATCATCTTCGTCCACCAAAACACTATCGTCGAAGCTCCCAGCAGAAGACTGAGACTGATTTTTCTTGAGAATCCTGAATTAACCAAAATCGATTCGATTTGAGGAAATAAGACCCTAATTAAGCAAACACAAAGTAAAAATTCAGAAAGATTTCGTTAAGTTACCCCATGAAAGAAAGACGGCTGGATTTTTTCGGTTTCTCTTCAGCCACCTCGCTGATCCGCTGCATCGAGATTCTAGCGCTGCCATGCGAATTCCGTCTGGGCGGAACCGCCAAGTTCTCCGATTTCCGCCGTACCATAGAAGCCGCCGCCGATTTTCCATCTTCTCCACCGCCCTCTGATGTTCTCGGGAATGGACGACTTCCTGATTCACTAAGTGCACGCGGTCTCCTCACCGCCTCCACAAGTTCCGTTACCGAACTTGCCGCCACTTCCTTTTGGCGCGCTAACAAAATGAGAAAAAATAAATAAATATAAAAATTAAAATGTTTGAGCCTAATTAATAAGATAAATTTTCCTTTTAGTCCCAACCTTTTAAGCAGCTTTCAAAATCATCCTCGACCTGTAAGATAGATCTATTGATTCTTTAACCTTAACTAGGAAATATAGTTCTTATATTCCCCAATTCCATTAACTTAAGCAAAAAGAGTGAACAAATCACTATTTTAACTCAGAGTTTATTGAGATGATACTTTGATCTTGTAATGAAAATTAAATCTCCACAAAATTTAGGATTTATTTGGTTACCTTTTATTCGGAAGGCATTTTTGAAGAAATTATACACAAAAATACTTAGCTGTGGTTCAAAAAAATAAATTTTCAAACACAAAAATCAATGATAAAAGATAATTAATTATATTTTTTTTATAATTAGTTACGATGTTTTAAAGGTAAAATAATTAACTAAACAAAAAAATTAATTAATTACGCATCTTGAAATGAAACTCTCCAAGGTTTTTGAACAGGAAAGTTCTTTCCCTTGCCATAATGCATTATATTCATTTATGACCAATTAATTTCAAAATATCCCTTTTTTTATATAATCAACTAAACTTTACCTCAATTTTTGTGCCCAAAAAGTTTCATTTTGTAATTAAAGCTGGCTAAAAAGTGATGGCTTTTTTTAAAAATACCTTTTGAGTAGAAAGTAACTAAATAAATTTTTTGAAAAATAAATCTTTACATATAAAATTTGTATAAATTGAAAAACAAATTTGGATCATAGGTGTAGCATTCTCTGTGGACATTTTGGGTGAAAATAATTTTTTTTGGGAGGGGGGCGAGGGGTTTAATCTAAGTTGGCCAAGTCGATGGTGAGAAAGAACTATGTTGAAAAGTTGTAAAAACTTATGGGCCCAATTGCTCAGTTTTAAAGGTTAAGAATGACTTTGCTAGAGATTGTAAAAATCAAGGACTAATGTAACTTTTACCTAATGAATAATTACACTTTGGATTAAAAGTTGGAAGGTTATTTTTGTATTTTTACGTACCATCATATCGAATCAAAGATTCTGGTAATCCATTGGGCCGCATCGTCTTATCCTTGGACCCCTCCGTATGCTTGCTCACCTCCACTAGCATTCTGCAAAGCCAATTCAGCAGACAAGGAACAACAAAATGATAAAAACGTATTTCAGACATATTCCTAGCCACTGCCGTCTATCACTCATCGGACGGTAGGAAACTAGGCCCCACATCTCAGTACCATCAATCTTGCGGATCGATATGGTAAGATGTTATGGCCCTTATGCGCTTGGGTGGGGGCAATAGACATCTAGCACCACCACTTTGGTTTTGCACGTTATTTGGTGGCTTAGAGTTAGAGGTGTTTGGTGAATTTGATAAGAGTTTTTATTTATTTTATTGTTTATAAGTGATAAATTTTAATTTTTATTGAAAAAAATTTTAAAGTTATTTTTAGAAATAAAAAAAATAAGTAATAATGAAGTTTATAAAAATTACAAATTCAAAATTTTTCAAAATGTACTGTTTAAGGTATTTTTAAGATAAAAAAAAGTTAAAAAATATAAAATTTTAAGAGAAAAATTTTAATTTATGAAATATAAATAGTGTCAAAAAAATTAAAACTCTTACAAGTTTTACTAAACATATCCTTAATAAACAACATTTCATTTTCAAAACAAAGAAAAAAAGTTATATAAAACACATATTATAAAAGAATTTTTTAACTTGTATTTTTATAGTATAAGTTAAGAGTGTAATTATTTTATTTTTTATTAATTTATATAAAAAATAAAAATTGACTTAAATTTTACTGTTTAATTAAATTGTTTCACGTAATATTAATATTAAAAACAAATTTTAATTTTGTAATTTTTTTATAAATGAATGATAAAAAATATAATAAATATATTCTTAATTTGTATTTTTAAAATACATATTAAAAAATATTATTATAAATTATTAAATTAAAAATAAGTCTTTTAATGCCGAAAATTATTTTTATTTAATAATTTAAATGATAAGACGGAAAATTCTTTTAGTAAAAGAGCAATGTTTTTCTCTAAAAAATAACAAAAAGGAAAAGGAGGATTGGAAACATACCCAATAAATTTGAGGACTGTGCCAGTTTCATCTTTGATGGGTGAAATTGTGAGAAGATTCCAAAAGGGGGTCCCATCTTTCTTATAATTCAGCAATCTCCCGCAGTAGCTTGTGCCATCCTTCAATGCCTCCCTGATTTTTGCCACGTCACCAGGGTCCGTCCCCGCTCCTTGTAGAAACCGGCTGCATCTCACCGCAACAAAATCTCCTAATTACCTCTCCGCCGACCGTTGTTACAAGGAACAGCAAAAAATGAAAAAAAAAAAAAGAACAGCCGGAATGTAAACTTACCAGTTCCGGCCGACAACCTCCTTGGGGGTGTACCCGGTCATCTTGAAAAACCCTGCACTAGCATACATAATTGGGCAATCGGGTTTGGTAGCATCCGCCACCACAAATGTTTGCTGAAAAGCTGACAATGCATCTTTCAAGTCCTCGGACACCCTTGGAAGAATAATATTTCGTTTCTCCTTGCCCGCGCCACCGCCTCCGCCGTCATCTGATAAGTCCCAGGAGCTCCTGACAGAATTATTGGAGTTTCTCCGTGAACTTTCGGGTTTGTTATTGGGATCTTCCCCACCTGAATTTCTTACGGTAACCCCTCGCGGTTTGCCGGTTTCAGTATCCGTTTTTAGAACCAAGCCCCACTCTGCAGCCCTCTGTGCCGCCACACCAACTTCACTGGTCGGCGATGGCGGGGTCTCTCGGTTTTGATCGCGATCGTTGATGATTCTCCGAACGAGAGGTGGAGTCGGTTCGTCGAGGGCCATCCATGAGGTGATTTCTTGGGCCCGACCCGAATTGGAGGAGAGGTTTGGACTCGGAGAGTAGGGTTCGGAGCTCCCACGTAGCTCTGTCCAAGTCTGCCATGTGGGCTGCGAGAAGAATGCCGGGTTACTGGGCCGAGTTGAGACGGTGGAGGGATTGAATACTTCAAGTGATCCACGGTGATCCCTCGTTAGGGGTGGAATATTCAAAGACGATTGTTTGGAAGATTTTTCCGATTCCATTTTTCTGCATAAAAAATCATCAATGGTTCCATTCAACACTCAATTTTCATATAAACATAAGAAGCAAAGAAAGTGTCAAGATTATACTTAAAATTTAAATTTTAAAATTTAAAATCAACATCTAAAGAATTAAATTCTTTTGAAAGTGTCAATCTTATAAATTATAAGTATCTTTTACGAAAACTAATCAATAAATGCAATCTTATAAATTATAAGTATCTTTTACGAAAACTAATCAATAAATGCTAATCATAAATACTAAAAAATAAATAGCAAAGGGAAATACATTTCTCTGTATACTATATATTTTTGTCGTATAATAAAACTAAATTCTCTAATTTGTGATTAATTTCATAACCTTAACTTTAAAATTTGAAATTCCAAACTTCTAGTTAACTTAAATAAAAAAAGTAAATAGTAATACTCAAGTGATATTTATCTTGTGATGAGCAATGTGAACATTATTTATGGTAATATGAAGTAGATGTTTGAATGTGCAAAAAAAAGGTTTTATTTGATGTAAGCTTATCTAGAATTAATGGTGGAAATTGAAGTAGGGACCTTTGGAACCGGCCACATGTGTATGATACGGACATGTTTCATTTTCAGGACAACTTGAATACGTGGGACATGCATGCATTGACATATACTAGACTGAGAAACTTGAAAAAAGATGCTTTAAAGGTGTGAGGTGGGGAAATTAGGAAAGAAATATCTGCAGTAATCAAAAGGGTATTTTGGTCGTTTCAAATCTGACCAATTTATCTAACTTCTATCTAACTTCTGTTGTCACAATATATATACATACAGTATGGGGAGACAGCAAGAATAATGTCTTAATACAATTAAGAACCTCACAATTTTCTGGGGGTATGTATATGGTATGGCCCAGAAAATTGACATTTAACAGGTTAGGTGGGAATGAGGAAAAAGGGAAATCATAAAGTTACCTGAATTGAACCAGCTAGTTTGGTTGAAGAGAAAGGGAGAAGAATTGCAAAAAATGAATTCCTTCACTCGAAGAAGGAAAGAAAGAAACGGGAAGGAAAAGGAAAAAGATGATGAGGACTGGGAGAGAAGGGAAGGAAACTTTTTAATGGGAAACAAAAGGCAGGGAGGGAATTAAAAAGAAGAGAAAGATCAATGATTGCGGAAATACTGGGGTTGGATTTGGATTTTCCCATCCCACCATGTCTGAATTTCACACGACATGACTTTATATTATTGCTCTGAATCATGAAGAAATAGTATTGACTAATTTTATAAACCAAAAGGAAGAAGAAGAAAAAGATTTAGTTGCACTAACCTTATTAATTCTTGCTCTTGCTGTTACTATACTTACAGACTGAAATAACAGAAGCATGAAGAAGAAACGGAGTTCTGATGATGGGGAAAAATGGAAAATGAAAAAAAAACTTGCTATGGATAGATATGTACTTTTGATGCTACATTAAACATTGCAACAAAAAGATAAAGGACAAGGATTACACATATGGAAGCATCCTTTTCAACTTTACAACAACATATGTGCAATGTCAGCCGGTGGGTGTGTTCAGAATTTAGAGGTACTAGATCTGGACACGTGTCTATAACCATGAGAAGATTAGCATATCGTTTCAGTGTCATGAAATTTAGCTACAACAATCAAGGTTCATTAAGCTGCTAGGAACTACACCAAATGATCCGATTGTCGCGCGTTTCATTAAAGTTGGTGGACTGTTCATCAAATTTAAAAATTGAATTTTCAGTTACTAATATTTAATAATACTAACTTATTAATTATTGTCTTTATAAAAAAATAAAAAATAAAAAAATAAACTGCTAAATTAGGTTTGAAATTAGGAGAATTCATTCAGTCAGTTACAATTAATATTATATTTATATAACCCTGACAACTTAACGTCTATTATAAAGAAGCAAGCTGGCTTTTTACCACTCACACTCAATGAAATGGTTGGCACTTAACCATAAATTTTATATTTTGTAACAATATCATACTGTACATAATCCTATAAAAAAAATATTGGAATCAATTTTCTTTTTTAAATTAAAAAAA